TCTTCCTCCCAAAGAGGCCATGGAGATTTGGCCCAGTCTTGTGCTTGCCTCCTTTTTCCACAGTATGGCACTGGGCACACTTCTGAACAAAAATCTTCTTGCCTTTCTCAACATCACCCATATTTAATTCTAAAAACGAAAAGACCCAACTTAGTAACTTTTTCTTCAAGTAACAAATATAGTGTGAACCAATGATCACTTCAGTTATTTAATTTCTAATCCACTGCTAATCTATGCCATTAAGTGCCAGAATAAATCTTGTTTCATTTAACACACTCATAATACCTTTAAGGCTAAAAATACTATTTAGGAAAACCTTAGAAACGTATCTTTGTGTCTAGGCCCAAGTAAGCCAAGTATGAGGAACCTAGCTCAAGCTCCAATTTCAAAAGATGAGGTCAAGGTCACAAAGAATCACCAATCTGAAATTGAACTGCGACTACATTAAGCTAAAACCACAAGAATCCCATATTTAATAATAAGGTCTAGTTATTTGTTCCTACCACAATCTAAAGCCACCTCTCTCTGAGGATAATATAAAACACATAAATTTTAAAGAGGTCCTGGCTGCTCACACCTGCTCAGGTCACAGGTGTAGCTTGTCACTCTAACTTGCCACGCTGCACGTGACAACACAGGACCGGGCTGCAAGGACATGGACATCCCCTTCCCCTTCTTCCCACAGATGAGTTGCCTGGTGACGACCACGAGGTCGTTAACTCATCCAGGTCGCTTTCAAGGTGACTGACGAAAATCCACCTTTCCGGGATGCCAGAGCGGTCGATGGAAGAGACGACAGGCAGCCCGGAAAAGAAACGACCTCTTATTAGAGGAGCAGCAGCTTTGGCTCTCCAAGGGGGCAGTGAGCTGCTCTGTGGCTCTCGGTGAGGGCCCGCGTTTTCCTCGGACGCGCATCCAAACCACCTAGAGTGCTTGACCTGCTCTACACCTAGTTAGGGTTCCGCTCCATCTGAAGCCGTTACCCACCGGGTTCTGTCTGGCCACAGTCCAGGCATCTCACTCCCAGCCCTGCCCGCCCCTCGGAGGTTCCCGGAGAAGGCCTAGGTCGCCTCCGGGCCTCCCACGTGGGTGTGAGCCTCCCACAAGCTCGGCCTTCCACCCACTATGGTTTCCACACTCTCCGCTCACCGCTCTTTGGTTGCTGACAGTACCAAAGTCCCGAGCTGGCAGCCGGACGTCCCGCTCTCTAAGTCCAAGGACACGCCGGGCTGTGCCTATGTACCGGTGTTAGTGCAACCGAACTCGCTCCGCCCTCCTGTGGCCAGAATAGTTACCAAGCCGGCTGATACGCAGCGTCGTCACGGCGTTTCATTGGCTCCCGCCTCCAGGACCGGCGCCAGGAGGCTGCGCGCGCATGCCGGCTAGCAGGGTAGGCTGTATCGCGCTCGTGTCCTTCCTTCCCAGGGCTCTCTTCCCTGGGCGTTACGACCGGCCTTGCACGCACGACGTCGAGGTGGTGCCGGAGGCGCTGACGTCACTGGTTGGCCTCAGTGCGCTTGCGGGCGTGGGGCGGGGGTGCGGGGCGGGGAGCTGAGTTGTGTGGCTTGTCTAGGGGTATTCCTGCTGAGGCAATAGGTCTTCGGCGCGGTGACGCAACCCGCTTGGAGTTGGGCCTTCCGCTTTCTGTAAAGAGACGCACCTGGAGGTCTCCTAGCTACCTCCCGGGAGCAGGCGACCTTTACCCAGACTCGGGCATGCTTCCACTGCTGGCGCCAGCTGCACCCCCAGAGAGATAGTCTGGAACCTGGAGTTTATAGGAGTTGGACTTTTAAATCATCTTCCAGCTCTCCGCCAGATGGACGCCCTAAGACCGAGGAGGGTGCTGTTTCCAGTAAACGGGATTTTAACTGTGGCCGCTTCCTTGCTGGTTTCTCTTTTGCTAACGCTCCTCGCCACCTGGCGTTTGTGTGCGGAAAGAACAGGGAGTGTGCAGGCGGTATCTAGGAAGAAGCATTTTTAGATGATTAGGGAATTGTTGGAAACGTAGGTAAAGATCGTTTCAAGTAAGCCTAATGCAGTTCAGGTCATACTAGAAATGCAGATGTTATTACAACTGCTTTTAGTTGCCATTATCATAGTTATCCTTAGAAACTTGCTCCCCTACTGTCGCTGAGAGTTTTTGTCTTGACTTATAAGCACCTCAAATTCAGCCCCCACGTTCCGATTGATTTTTCCTCTTCTGTCTAGCACTGTTGTATTCAGTCAAGTGTTTTTGTTGTGTGCCAGGCATTTATCTAGCTACCTGGAGTAAATCAGTGAGGTCTCTGATGGAGCTTACATTCCAGCATCCTTCCTTCCATCCCCAACCTAGATACATTCTACTCCCCTGGATTTCAGCTTCCAGACCTTCCATCTCCCTATGTGACTGTGCTATTTTTATTTTTGAACTGAGTCCTGACTTACAGTTCCCCTCTAATCTAACACACTACTTGCCACAGTCTTCCTGTAAAACACAGCAGGTCAGATAGATGTACCAGTGAGTCACCTGGCCAAGTGAATGGATCGACCCCTCTCTAAATTTATTCCTATGAGGAGAATAGGAAACAGGAAGTTCTTAATAATTTTTTAACTAAAGAAATTGTGGATAAAGAGTCTTGTTATTGCAAGTAGGGGGAAAATAAGAAGAAAGAACAACAAAAATGAATACTTGGCACCTTCCTGTAGTAAAACAGATACCATAAATTTTATGTTATATCTATATTTAAAACTTTTGTTTGAGACAAGAGTCTCGCTCTGTCGCCATGGGTAGAGTATGGTGGCATCATAGCTCACAGCAACCTCTGACAAAGGTTTGATAACTAGAATCCACAGAGAAGTCAAACTAATAAGGAAAGAACAAATGATCCCTTTTCTTTCTTTTTTGAGACAAAGCCTCAAGCTGTTGCCCTGGGTAGAATGCAGTGGCATCACAGCTCCCAGCAACTTCCAACTCCTGGGCTCAAGCAATTCTCCTGCCTCCGCCTCCCAAGTAGCTGGGACTACAGGCTCCGGCCACAAAGCCGGACTGTTTTTGTTGCAGCCATCGTTGTTTGGGGGACCCAGGCTGGACTCAAACCCACCAGCTCAAATGTATATGGCTGGCGCCTTAGCTGCTTGAGCCATAGGCTCCGAGCCAAGTGATCCCATTTCTCTGTGGGTAAGAGACTTGAACAGAAGTTTTCTGAAAAAGATAGGTGCATGACCTAGAAACACATGAACAAATGCTCATCATCTGTAATCATCAGAGAAATGCAAATCAAAACCACCTTGATATATCATCTAACTCCAGTAAGAGTAGCCCATATAACAAAATCCCAAAACTACAGATGTTGGCGTGGATGTGGAGAGTAGGGAACACTTCTGCATTGCTGATGGGAATGCAAGCTAATATCTTCCTTTTGGAAAGAAGTTTTGGAGAACACTTAGGGAACTGAAAGTAGACCTGCTGTTTGATCTTGCAATTCCTCTACTAGGTACATATCCAGAAAACCAAAAATCACTTTCCAACAAAGACATTTGCACCAGAATGTTTATTGCAGCCCAATTCATAATTGCCAAGTCATGGAAGCAGCCCAAGTGCCCATCAGTCCATGAATGGATTAACAAATTGTGGTATATGTATACCATGGAATATTATGTAGCCTTACAAAAAGATGGAGACTTTACCTTTTTTATGTTTATATGGCTGGAGCCGGAACATATTCTTCTTAGTAAAGAATGGAAGAAAAAGTATCCAATGTAGTCAGTACTATTATGAAATCAATATATAATCACCCACACTTTCATATGAATGATAAAACTGTAGCCCAGAATGAAGGAGAGGAAGGGGAGGAGAGTAGGTGTAGGGAGGGTAATCAGAGGGATCTCACCTATTGTGCATTATGCAAGGGTATATGTCAAATCCATTAAGAGAGTATAAATGTCTTAACAAGTAAGTGAGGTGAAGGCTATGTTAACCAGTTTGATGTAAACACTCCAAGTTGTTATAAAATCAGCACACTGTACCCCATAAATGCATTAATGTACACAGTTATGATTTAATAAAAAGATCTAAAGAGATTCATAGTACTTAAAATTTACTAAGGTACCCAAGAAAATTTGTGAAAGACAATAACATTATGCAGATTACTTTGTTTCATATTTATATGTTATCGTGCAATTTCCCTGCCACCTTCTCATTTCTTATGATGGACAGTAGCTAGTAAGGGATATAACTATTATAAAGGAAATGCCTTTGATTTCTTCTTCCAGCAACATAGTGGATGGCATACATTTGTTCCTCCTTATTGATGGCTTTGCTTTCCACAGTTTCACTTACCTTCAATTGCCACAGCCCCAAAATACTATGTATTTTAAGAAAGAACCACAGTCACATAACTTATTATACAGTATATTGTAGTTATTTTTAATTTCTTAACTGTGCCTGATGTATAAGTTAAACTATATCATAGCTTCTATGTACCATGTAGAAAAAAACATAGTATAGCTTTGTTTATGACCTGAGAAATGTGTCATTAGGTTGTTTTGTTGTGGCCATCATAGAGTAAACTTACACAAACCTAGATTTATAGCTTACTACATACTTAGGTTATATCCTATATCTGTTGCTTTCAGGCTACAAACCTGTATAGCATGTTATTGTACAGAATATTATAGGCAGTGTAACACAGTAGTATTTGTGTATCTAAAAATATATAAATACAGAAAAAGTACGGTTAAAAAACCCTTTGTATTTGCAATCTCTCTTTTTTTTTTTTTTTTCCTTTTTTGAAAACGAACCCCAAACTATCCCCCTGGGTAGAGTGCCATGGCATCACGCTCACAGCAACCTCCAACTCCTGGGCTCAAGCGAGTCTCCTGCCTCAGCCCCCCAAGTAGCTGGGACCACAGGCGCCCGCCACAATGCCTGGCCATTTTTTGGTTGCAGCCATCATTGTTGTTTGGCAGGCCCGGGCTGGGGATTCGAACCCGCCACCTTAGGTGTATGTGGCTGGCGCCTTAGCCGCTTGAGCCACAGGCGCCGAGCCTATTTGCAATTCTTGACCAAAATATCATCATGTGGTGCATGACTTGTGTGTATAGGGTTCAGTACTATCTGTGGCTTCAGGCATCCACTAAGGGTCTTGGAACATATCGCCCATGCATAAGGGGAGACTACTGTATTTTTAAAAATCCTGATAAAAATTTAGTAAAATCTCATACCCTAAATGAAAACAACTGAGGCCACAAGAAAGTAAGAGAAATCTGGTTGGAGGCAAGGGGGAAGATGGAGAAAAAGAACTGAAAACTAATGTGATAAGCATAAGCTGACTCCAGGGCCCTCTTAAGAACTTTTACTGAAGTAAAAGAGTCTTAGGCTTTGATAGCAGCTCAACAAAATGGAAGTAAAACTCAGATAGAGTGGCCCGGGAGAGTTGAAGGCAAAGTTAGCAAAGACACCTTCATAATGTTGGTACACTTGAAAGGTTAAAATACAGTCTGTTCACTGGCAAAGAGAACAAGGTTAGTCTTGTCTGTCTTGGCCTTAGTACTAGGTGGGAGTGAAAAGTATCCCTAAAGAAATTGTTACCACAGGTCTACTGTCATGCAAGTTTAGGGTTTAATATACTCTACCTTTACAGTCTGAGAAAACTCCATCTGAAAAATGAACAAAGTAGTTGTGGCTGGGCAGTGTGTCCTGGTATCTGGCGGAAGCAAACACAAATCTGATCCAGAAGAATATCTCAGTGCCGGCCGCTGAGGATTCTCATACTCTTAAAAACTGTCAAGGATGAGCTCATAATGAAAAGCAACAGAGAGCAGAGAAGTAAAAATCTTAACAGTGAAGATTTCTTCCTATGAATGTGGAAAGAAAATAATCATTGAGTAAACACAGTACAATTGTATATAGGTAAACCATAAGAAACTACCCAGTGTGAATAAAATCTTACATAATTTATATAGATAAACTAAATTTTTTTTTGTACCATGTTCTTTTAGCTAGCATTCAGTGTGAGGCTTTAGAATCGGTAGTACCCTATTTCTCATTTGGCAGCACAGTTTTCACTTGTTATTTGGATTTGTAGTAACCTGTTTCCCATAGAAAGATTTGAGATCACAGTTTGTGCCCAGATGATGCTTGGTCAAATCCTTGTTTTCTTCTCACATTTCTTCGTGTTAGATGTTGAAAGGTGAAGAAGTGCAGGCCGAGTATAGTTAATAAGGGCATCTGCAAGCACAGGAGCTGCCACTGAAGAGCGACAATGAGGACAATGAGATTAGGATAAGGGGTCTCTTTGAAAGCAATTCAG